ACTCAGGAAGCTGAGGCAGGAGAATTGCTTGAATCTGGGAGGTGGAGGTTGCAGTGAACAGAGATCGTGCCACTGCATTCCACCCCGGGCAACAGAGTGAGACTCCATCTCAAAAAAAAAAAAAAAAAAAATTATAACAAGCAGAAATTTCATATGCCAAAAGATGTGTTCCACAAGGATTGAGGCAACCCCCAAAGAGAAGAATCTGTCTTCCCAGTGCTAAGGACAGCCAGCCAGCTCAGGGCACCAGGGAGGCACCCACCTGTCGAAGAGCTGGTCCCTGCACATTATGGTCTCCATGGTCGACTCCATCAATAATCATCTAAGCGAGTGCCGCAAACACAGAGAGCAAGGCAAAGAAGAGCAAAGACCTTTTAGACAAAGGACACAACACTGAAGAGTATACAATGGATGAAGGAGACTGCTGTGCCCTGGCTCTCAAGAATTCAATCACTGATTTGGAGAAGAGGATATGGCTTCAAGAGCATCCTGGGGCATGTTAGAAGAAGGAACAGGAAGAAAGGCAGATGGCAAACATAGATGTCTGCTCCAGAGGAGGAAGGAGAGGAAGCCATGGAAGAAAATGTGGCTGTGCCCAGGCACGTGATCCAATGTCACAAGATTTCTGAGATTCCACAGCTAGTTTTGAAGCCAGGAACAATTACTCAAGGAAGTGATGCAGCAACCTGGTGTCATGAGTCAATCACGCCCACTTTAGCCCTCAGGCCTTGGCTCATGTTCAGTGTAAGTGGAAACATGAGAGCCTCGTACTACGATTTCAGTTTGCCTTTTTTTAGTTTATTGAGTCCAACGTAAAAGCCGAAATCACAACGTAAAAATAATAGTCACATTCAAAAGGAACATTTTCTTGTTTCCCTATACTAGAAAACCGACCTTTAGCATGTGCCCAATTAAAACAAGGGCTTTTTCTTTTCTCTTTTTATTTATTTATTTATTTATTTATTGAGATAGAGTTTCGCTCTTGTTGCCCAGGCTGGAGTGCAAAGGCGCAATCTCAGCTAACCACAATCTCTGCCTCCCAGGTTCAAGCGATTCTCCTGCCTCAACCTCCCAAGTGGCTGGGATTACAGGCGCATGTGCCACCCACCACGCCTGGCTAATTTTGCATTTTTAGCAGAGACGGGGTTTCTCCATGTTGGTCAGGCTAGTCTCGAACTCCTGAACTCAGGTGACCCACTTGCCTCGGCCTCCCAAAGTGCTGGGATTACAGGCCTGAGCCACTGCACCCAGTCTTTCTTTTTTTTTTTTAAAGAAGAATGATTGGTGTTCTTCATATCATATACATAATATATACTTACTATGGAAAAACAGTTGAATAAAAATTTTATTATTTTATCATACCCAAAGATTAGCCTATTGCTATATTCTTTATACATATATATGCATGTGTGTATACATATATAGAGATAAATATGTAAAATATAAAAATACATAAACATATGTGAATATATACACATGTACATTTATATGTGTATATATATACACACATACATTTGTATGTATATATATAAACACTATAAAAATAGGATTCTACTGCCCATTCTGTTTAGTAACCTTAAGCAGTGTAAATTCAAAGATGCCAAGATTTTATCTCTTTTTTTGCAACAATAATAAAAACAAACAGAATGTGATTTTCTAAAATCCCTTTTCGGCAGAGATAATCATAAGTATTTGTTAAACTATATCAGTAACTGGGGGTGAGGGAGGTGAGTGAATACTAGTCCTTTGTAGGGAGTGGGCTTTACATTTCACCTTCACTGACTTGCCCAGCCTTACAGAAAGCCATGCAAGTATTTCATATGTCCACAGCTATGAGTCGGAAACTATTTGTCATCAGAACTGAGGAAGAAGAATGAGGTGAACAGGGTGGGCCTAATACAGGTACTGTAGGGATTATCCATTCGCAGAAGGGAGAGGGCAACAAACTCATTGTCACCTTCGGATACAGTCATGCATTGCCTCAGAGAAAGGCATCATTAGGTGATGTTGTGCAAACATCATGGATTGCCCTTACACAAACCTAGATGGTATAGCCTACTACACATGTAGGCTCTACGGTATAGCTTATTGCTCCTAGACTACAAACCCATACAGCATGTGACTGTACTGAATATTGTAGGCAATTGTAACACAATGGTAAGCATTTGTGACTCTAAACACAGAAAAAATACAGTAAAAATATCACATTATGGAACCACCATCATATCTGCAGTCTGTTATTAACCAAAATGTCATTACGCAGCACATGACTGTTTTTAAAGAACAAATGAGTCACTTAGGAAAGAACACATGAATCTTTTTTCATAATTACTCCCCATCACGGGTTCATTTTCCAATTCACTAGCTGTACTTTGAGCACATTCATTCAACAAATGGCAGACACGATGTTCTAGGTGCCGTTCTGGGTGCTGGTGACAGTGCAACACAGCAGAAAAACTCCCAGCCTCTTGGAGCTTACCTTCTAGTAGCGGGAGGCAAAGCAGAAATAAATACATGATATGTCGGATGGTAAGAATAATGAGGAAAATAAAGTAGGGAAAGGGATTGGGGCTGTCTGTAATAAGGGGTGAGATTTTAAACACTGGAGGTCAGAAAAGGCCTTACTGAGAATGTGAGCTTAAGCAAAGACCCAAAGAAAGTGAGGGAGTGGGTCGTGTGGCTGACTGGCCAATGACATTGCATGCAGTAAATAGCAAATGCAGAAGGCCCAAGGCAGGGCGTGCTCGGAGTATCCAAGGGATGTAAGGGAGCATCCAGCTCAGAAAGGCTGCCAGTGTGTTAGTACTCGAGAGAGAAGAGAGGGAATCAGAGAAGATGAGACTAGCCGAGAACAGAGGAGCCAGTCTGGGTAGGGTCTTGTAAGCTCCTGAGTGATTTGGGAAAACACTGAAAAGAGTTTGGACAAGAGGGCACCATGATCTGAGTTAGGGTCACTCTGGGAGCTGTTTTCAGACTGCAGCACCTGTAAACATAGATGGAAGGACCCCAGAAATAGGGACATCAAGCCTGGAGATGGCAATCATAATCAGGGAGAGGAGCCATTGGCGAAGCTGAATCTCCAGGGACAAGAGACCCATGGAGTGCAGTCTCCTTTACCCACGTGGTAATTCTCCTACACCACCAACCTTGGTTTGGACTCTTGGCAGCTGCGCATAACGTGGGCTCTCAGTCAGGCTTGTGGATAAATGGAAGAAGAGAGAGAGAACAAAAAGAATCCTGCTGATAGAGGCTGCTGGTCAGGACAGTGTTGGGCAGGCCTGGAAGGGAGACAGGTTGCAAACACAGGCTCCCTGTGCAGTGGGAAGAACAGCCTGCAGAGCTCCCATGTAGGGGAGAGCAAAGTCCTTGACCCCACAGGGGCCCGGGTGCCTGTTCTGATCATCTCCCCAACATGCATGCTTCATTCTGTCATCTGGACCCCTGGGGACATCCTCTTGGCTGCTCATTATGGTTTTACTTCTTTTTAATTCAGCTTCAGAGCTGTAAGGAGAGACATGGTATAATTAATGAGTTGAGCTTTTAGTTTTTGTCCCAGCTGCCAAGGCTACCTAGGTAAAGATGCTTTTGCAGTTTTTTTTTCTATTGTTAAATATTGGTTTACTCTTCAAATTTTCCCCACTTTCCAATATCTATAGACTATACTTATGTATGCCCTTTAGGGTTTGCCATCTGTTGAAAAGCAAGTACAGATGAGGAAGGAGAGGAAGCAAAGATCAGCTAGGGCACGTTGTGGTTGGAAAATATGCCAGCTGTGATTCAATTCTAAATTTACTACAGGTTCATTGCAGAATTCAAGTCCCCTTTCTGTAAAATGGAAAAATAGTATCTTCTAATTTAACACAGAGAGATCCCATAAACACCCAGAGAGCAGTCGCTGCCTTCCTGTTATGAAGGCTATGTTTTCTACACTATTGGTCATCTATCTCTAAGGGCTTCTGGTGGGCCCATAAGACTGTCCAAGAAACTATGATAGAGCCAAAAACACTTTCTACCAGTATCCCCACTGTGGTCAAATGATGGTCACAACATCTACTTACTGGTGAAGACTGCAACTTCCAGATTGCAACTGACTGCTGGTCTGTGGCATGACATATATATATCATCAGTCGGGCACGGTGACTCATGCATGTAATCCCAGCACTTTGGGAGGCCGAGGTGGGCCTCCCAAATATATATATATTACTTTTGAGATGGAGTCTCGCTCTGTCACCCAGGCTGGAGTGCAGTGGTGCGATCTTGGCCCACTGCAGCCTCCACCTCCCAGATTCAAGTGATTCTCCTGCCTCAGCCACCTGAGTAGCTGGGATTACAGGCGCCTGCCACGAGGCCCAGCTAACATTTTGTATTTTTAGTACAGATGGGGTTTCACCGTGTTGTCCAGGCTAGTCTCCAACTCCCGACCTCAGGTGACCCGCCCACTTCGGCCTCCCAAAGTGCTGGGATTACAGGCATGAGCCACCGTGCCCGACTGATGATTAGTATTTTTATGTATTCTTAAACATATCTGTATTAATTTGCTATGGCTGGCACAACAAAATTCCACAGACTGGGTGACTTCAACAACAGAAAATATATTTACTCACAGTTCCAGTGGCTGGAAGTCTAAGATCAAGGAGTTCGCAGGACTGGTTTCTGCTGAGGACTCTCTCCTTGTCTTGTAGATGGCTACCTTCTCAGTGTGTCCTCAAAAGGTCTTTATTCTGCATACAACCATGTCTGTGACCAAATCTCCTCTTCTTATAAGAACACCAGTCATGTTGGATTAGGGCCTACTCTAAATAGCTTATTTCAGCTTAACTCTTTAAAGACTGATATGGTTTGGTTTTGTGTCATTTCCCAAATCTCATGTCGAATTGTAATTCCCAGTGTTGGAGGTGGGGCCTGGTGGGAGGTGATTGGATCATGGGGGTGATTTCTAATACTGTTTGAAAGTGCAAAGCACCTCCCCACTTCTCTCTCTCTCTCTCTCCTGCTCTGCCATGGGAAGATGTACCTGCTTTCCCTTCACCTTCCACCATGACTGTACATTTCCTGAGGCCTCTCTAGCCATGCTTTCCATACAGCCTGCTGAACTGTGAGTTAATTAAATCTCTTTGTTTCATAAGTTACCCAGTCTCAGGTAGCTCTTTACAGCAATGTGAGAATGGACTAATACAAAGACCTTATCTCCAAATACAACTATATTCTGAGATAACTGGAGGTTAGGACTTCAACATACGAATTTTGGGAGGACAGAACTCAGTCCATGATGAGATCTAATTTTCTATTTGACAAGCACCTGCTGAGTACTTGCTATGAGCTAGGCAGTTAGCCTAGCTGGTCAGGGCATAGTCAAAACCATACTGATTATGTTAATGAGCCAGTTGGCATAACCCTCCCCAAGGACAGGCAAGAGAATATAGCAGAAGTGGAGTAATGCTTCCATCATTCTTGCTGAAGCAGCCCCAAGTACTTGTGGTAGGTGCACCAGGAGATCATTTTCAGCAATAAGAATGCTCCAGTTGGGAGACTGCTGTTAGACACAGTGGGCTAACCCAGGACTATAGTGTCCAGAGATGAGGGCTTCCTCTTTGAGCCACTGTAGGGGGCACAGTCCACTGGTGTTGGAGTCAGAATAGACTTGGGGAATATGGGCTTATAGGTCTTAAAGTGAAGGGGCCATATGAATACTTCAAAGATGTTAAGTGATAACATGAGTCAGTGCTTGGAATGACTCAGCCATGGCCATATGACTAGCAGCTGTTGACCAAGTGTTATGGGAAGGTGAATGGAGGCAGGGGGATCAATATCTGACAGTTGAGGGTAAAAGACAGGACAGCCCAGACATTCGGTGGTGGATGAGAGGAATACCTAACTCCAAAGCAGAAGCCCATGAACACATTGAAACAACACTGGACACAGTCATGGGCTTTATTTTTGTATGCCTTAAACCTTTCATATTTATTATGTGATCTTATCCTCCCAACAAACTTGTTGAGTAAGTAGGGCAGGTATTACTAATCCTATAAGTTAAACAAGGCAATAAGGCCCAAGTCAGTCAAATGAGTGGCTAAGACCACACACTACATTAAATCAAAAGCTGTTTCCTGACTCCCATTCCTGAGTTCATTCAACTTTCAGCACTGAGACTGGTTGTGGGATTTGTCAGCAGTGATTTTTAGAAAAGCTCATGCAGTCCTTTTCAGCTTTGTGAGAGAAGGTGTTTTGGCTGGGTCTGAGCCCTGCCCAGCTGCTTGTCATATGTCAAGAATCATAATGCAGGGGTGAACCAAAGGCACCCCTTGTCTTTGAATATGCTGAGTGGTCATTAACTAGAATGGTTTTTGAAGGGAGACTTATGCTTGAGTCATGGCAAGGCAAAAGGAAGCTTTCGTCCCTCCCTCCCTTCGTTTCTTGTCTAGAGCTTAAAGGCAATGTCAAGCAGCCTACTCTATTCTATTTCACCTGGGCTACCTCTTTGGCCTTCCTTGGCTCCTAGACTCAAAGTCTCTCCCAAGCAAAAGATGCACCAACATTTCCAATCTAACTCCGAAGTCCTGAGGCTGCTTCCTCTGGGAAGCCCTTCTTGAGCCCCTAGACCTGAGGGAGCAGTCTATCCCTTCTGTTCCATAAACCCTAGCACTGTCATAGCACCAGAAGCTTTGACTGGCAATTGCCCATTGGCCTTTCTGGGTTTCCTATGAGACTGTGCTTCTCATGGACAAAGGCTAGTCCTTCTGGATCACAAATTTACTCCCAGGGTGACTACAGTGATCCAGGATACTCCCTTGAAGGAATGGAAAGAGGAAACAAAAGAGTGAGGTTTTACAAGATCTTCACTCCTGCCTCCCCCAAATTCCACTCCAGCTGTAGGTTGTCAGAAGAAAGAAGTACGGGAGTGTTGATCATTCTTTGCTGAAGCTGATCTATGGTGGTTCCATTATCGTTATGATTCTCAAGAAACTTGGACAGAAAGGGTGTGTGGAGAGAGGCAAATAAGGGCCACCACAAAGATCGCTTTCTTGGAAGGAAAGGAAGGTGGAAACCAGAGGGATCCTTTCTCTGACCTTGGAGGATAAGTGAGGAAATGGAATTTCAGTGGAACGGTGGTAACAGCTATTGATCATGACGGAAGCTAAAAGGGTTGGGTCATGTCTGCCATGGCTCATCTTGGCAGTTGCACTCGGATATGGCCTGCACTATTCAGAATCTGAGTTTGGACTCTGAACCATTATCAAAAGCCTGAATGAACCAAATATAAACATGCAGAATGCAAATTCCAAGAAATAAAAAAAGTGATGATATTTATTAAAACCCCAAGGCAAATAGTATTTAAAGGGGACACTGATATACACAGGACTGCTGTCACTTCCTCACTCTAAAATAGAGCCTGTTCCAGCTCATCTCACACATGACTATTATGTAGAACAAGCCATAAAATATGACCATAAAGCACTTTGCACACATAAAATGCTACATGGCAAATCCTTACTACTACTTCCCATCATTTAATATCTGAAAATAAATGTCTACCAATCATAATAATTTTATGTGACTTTGATGGGTGCTGGCTTTTACCAAACATGGAAGTAGAAAATGGGCTATCTGTGGAAGGCACAGTTTTACCTTGTAGGTAAAACTGCCTTGCTAGAACATATGTTTGTGTCCTTCATATTGAAAAAAAAAAAAAGTTTGCCTGTCTGGAAGATTCTGTAGGTAGATAAAATGCTTTACTTGACATTTCCCCCCAGACCCTATCACACAGTAGGTAATTATTATAATATGTTCATTGAATGACTTAATGGTTGCATGAATTGATGATTCAAGATAAACTAAGGGTACAAGCTTCTGGGTAGAATGGGAGCCATCAAACACTGTCCCTAACCCGGACACACACATTGCTTTATGACTGGAGTAGGATCATTGGCATTGTTAGGGAACTGGTCCAAGTTATTTCTATATTATGCATTTCTTCAGAGGTTAGGACTGTCAGGTTTAAATCTTTTCCTCTCATGCACTATAAAAACTGTTTTTATTTTGCGTTCGTGACTCAGTTAGCCATATTCTTGGAAAGTGTTGGCACTATTTCATTGTTCAGATTAGGATCCTCTTCACTTTGTTCCCCACCCAAAACAAAACAAAAACAAAAACCACCACGGTTCATACTCAACATCAAACTCCTCGTCTCTAAAGAGTAGGGGCTGGTCCAAATGCCTCCTTTCTACTTAAGACTCCATGATTTTGTGAGGACACCTCAGTCTAGTGCCTGCCAATGGAATAGATTTATTTTAAGAAGAAAACAGGTTGGGGAAGGAGCTGCTGGGCAGCTTCAGCCATTTAATACTGTGCTTGACAATATAATTCACCTTGTGCTCCTTCCTGAATCACAGCCTCCAATATGCTGCGTGCCCCTGACAGCTGGGGCACCATTTGCTGAGTTGAGGCAAGATATGCATTTTGCAACCACTCTATCTCACCCACGCAGGAAACCATTCACCTTCTGGCTGACCTAGCAACCAAATCATAAGCTCAACAGAGAAGCCGGGTGTGACGTGGAAGCTTAGAGGGGGAAAGAACAAGATTGCTTTATGCAGGTTATTGTCCAGATTTATTTATGGCCCTTAAGTTAGACCCCCTCCACATGTTGTTGGCTGAGAAAGAGAGGGCTGCTATTTAGCAATAGGATGATTTTTTGAAAAATCCTTGAAATGATTACATATTCCCAAAATTCAGCTTGTAACTGTTTGACAGAACACAATGCCTGTATGTGTGGTCATTAACTACAACGATCTGGGGCATGAGGCAGGATGTGGACACACCACACACTCCTACTGAGATTACAGTCAGGAGCTAGGCATTGCTCTTCATTTTGAGTTTAAAATAAAAAAGACAAGACTGACAAATGAAATATTAATATGGAGCACCCGCCAACAGGTTCATAAAAATTAAGTACTCCTTTTGCCTTTTGCCTCCTCTGCATGGTTTCTTTTTTTGGAATCAAACCAGCTCTCCTTGTCATTATCCAATCGATATGGCCGATGGCAATCCTGGGCACTTGGAAACGATGTCCATGTGCTCTCCAGCAGCTGCCATCCATCTCTTGCTTTTCCTTAATTTCTGCTGACAAGCATGTTTGCTCCCACAAAAGGCTTAGATTTGTAGGATAAAAGCATTGGGATTGTGTCCATTTGACCTAAATTTGGGGATGTGGTGACATTTTGATGAGATTTGCTCGTCATAAATCTTAATTGATAGGACAAAAGCAAAACCTGAGTGACTGAACATTGACTGGCTCCATCTGTGCTGGGAAATACAGGTACAGAGGGGAGCATTCGAAGACTGCAGCTCTCTGATGTGTATGTTTATTGGAAAACAGTGTGGAGAAAAGAATGGTTATAACAGTAAGCTATAACAGTAAGCAGCCAAGAAAGGAGAGTATTGACAGAGGAAGGAGGTAGGTGAAGGAGATACTAGGTTTCCCCACTTTATCACTTCTCTCCTCCTCCATGCAGAGCAAGAGACATCACTGTGGCTTGGTTCCGTAGATGTACTGCTGTATGCTCTCCTACACTGCAGAGACATCCAAATGTCTTCAGCTGATTAAAGTCAATAGGTAAGTTTGGGGCCAGGTGCAGTGGCTCATGCCTCTAATCCCAGCATTTTGGGAGGCAGAGGCCAGAGGGTCACTTGAGGCCAAGACTTTGGGACCAGCTTGGGCAACATAGTGAAACTCCATCTTTGCGGGGAAAAAAAAAAAAAAACAAAAAAAAAACTAGCTTGGCATGGTGGTGTGTGCCTGTGACGCTAGCTACTTGGGAGGCTGAGGTGGGATGATTGCTTGAGCCCAGGAGGTTGAGGCTGCAGTGTGCCATGACTGCACCACTGCACTCCAGTCTGGGTGACAGAGCAAGACCTCATCTCTAAAAAAATATTTTTAAATTTAAAGAAACAGGTAAGTTTGAGGTGTCAGGTTGTCAGCATCACACATGGTGCAGTAATTAACGAAGGTGACTTGTGAGCTGCAGAGTCCATCATGAGGCTCTTCTCGTGAGACTTGGTCAGCCACAGGCTCTCCCAGTGGGATGTGTTGAAGCC